TTCAGATGTTATCAATCTTATCAATCCAAATTACATAGTATACGTATATGCAGATCATTGGACATTTCACCTGACCGTTACCGTTACTAATTCTATAATTGTAAAAAAACTTGAATATCTATCGCTATTAAGTGGCATACACACATGATTAAGGTCACACGTACTGTTACACCAGAACTACTACTTATCTGTTATAAGTTCGGTATAAATAAATTAATTTAGTGACAGATGGTATACGAATGATAACAAATATGTGTTTACGCTTAAGTAAAATATAGTTTATTGCAATTACGAAAGAGACATAAAATGTGTATAATTAATTCAGCTATTCTATTTATTAATAAATGGTTAGGATTATTAGATTTTATATCTTGTTAGCTATATTATATTTGCTATATTTAATAATTATACAAATATGTCTAATATATTTAATAATTATACAAATATGTCTAATATATTTAATTAGAATCAATAAAGATAATATATCTAAAAGAATTAATAGATTAATCAGTATTTTATGTTAACATTTATACAGTATTAATTTATTATTAAATTGAGTCAGTGTCTATTATTTGTGAATTATTACGCTATGTGATGTCGAAAGTTTTCTCTGGCTTTTACTTAAAGTAACGTGATCAACTGTGGTTATTGTTGAAGAGGAATTCCCCAGAGAAAATTAGTTAGTGATTAGAATTAAAGGATTAAAAGACTTAGATACACCCGATCACGTGCATATGGAAATATATAAATTTGAGAAAATTCGTGTTTATATTTTTTCGGGTTAATCAAAATTTTGAGATTTGATTGGTTGGTTATATTGGGTAATCTCGTGATTTGAAAGAGGTTTTTTTAAAAATATCGTTTCAAGATTGATTCGAATATTGAAAGAAAGGCCCCATATTTTCGAGATACCAATCAAAACTCATGATCAGGTGTAACATAAATCAAAAACAAATATCGAACAAATATCGATATACAAACCTTAACTCTGATACAGTAGCAAATTTTTAGGTTGGTAACGCTAGGACGGTCGACTAAGCCTATAGTAGGTTACGCGAAGGTTAGAATTGTGTAGCGCTGACCCGTAATTTAGCCATAACCATTAACAATATACATTATTAGACGGGTCTTTGTAACAACCCGTGATTTTTTAATTTGGTTATTGCACAGGATCACAGGATTGGATTGATAACTTTAATATATATATAGAGTCGACCACGTGAAAAATACTTTATGATAGCCTGGTTTACAATGGAATGAAATCATTTCATAATGTAGTCGTTTTTTGGAAAGTCGAATAATATACTTGACTGCATTTATATATTCAGTACACAATATTTGGAATTGATAAGATCTTGTACAAAAATATTAAATAATTTAATTTATCTTGTACAATTTAGCTAAACTTCTTTTCGCATAATAATAAAATTCATTTTTTTTTTTTTATCTAAATTAAAATAATGTTGAAAGATAAAGAATTAATATATTTAAGCAATTGTATACGTATTTTTAATTTATGAGTACAATATATTAATTGATAAAGAAGGTCCAGATTAAAATTTCAATCAATTAAGTAAGTATACATTGGAAATTTCCATTTAACACTGATCTTTTCTAATATCCAATAAATTTTCTTTATGAATTTGACTACGTTAAAATTGGAAAATGTGTGGTATGTATGCATGTTGTAACCTAGCATATTATGGTTTTTTTTCTATATTTAAAGAAGTTAAGTTCTTAGTTACCAATAATATAATTAAGTCCTCATTTAGTTCAATAATATAATTAAGTCCTCATTTAGTTCAATAATATAGTTAAGTCCTCATCTAGTTCAATATTCTTAAATTTAATTCTTTAAAAGTCTTGTTTGTAATTACGAGTACGATATTGATCATGTGATATGAGATTTATACAGTAATAGTGATAGTAATAATAATAATAATAATAATATATAATAATAGTAATAGTATTATATAATAATAGTAATAGTAATATATAATAATAGTAATAGTAATAGTAATATATAATAATAGTAATTTTTTTTTTTTTGGTGTTAAGGTGAGGCATATAATAATAGTAATAGTAATACGTAGTAATATATAATAATAGTAATAATAACAATAATAGTAATATATAATAATAGTAATAGTAATAGTAGTGATAACAATAATCGACAATAGATCCAATGATGGAATGGATAACCTCAATATTGACAATGTTATTATTGACAATTTATAAATTAATAATCATTTTCAAAAACTTTACGAAAAAAAATTATATGTACGTAAAAGTTTAAAGCATGTATATTTTTGCCGAACGAATAAACTACATTGGTTTTGTGTTACATTATTGAAAATTGTTTATATGTTTCTCATATTTATTAAATGAATTTTTTAACGAAAAAAATATGCGCCGAAATTTCTACGTTTTTATGAAAATTAGCAAAAGGTATGTAGGTAACACAAATATTACGACAATTCGTCAATTCGTCATCTGTATATCGGGCATATATACGTACCAGTACATAACGTTAAAGTCCAATGCAGATGCAGATTGTTACGTACCCACATATCGATGTTTAATATGTGAAATATATGCGCTAAATTATTACAGTGTTAATGTTAATGAATGCAAAAGTGCACGGCTCATCTTATGTTGTCAAAAAAAGTTAGTTAGCAACTTTTAATACGTACGTACGAAGATTGAGTAAAATTTTGATAGTACATACGGTTAACATAGGTTTGTAAAATTGATTTTTATAAGTCCATTATCCCTATGGCACTGGGTGTGGCTAATAAGCATTAGTTAATATAATTATTTAGCGTTAGTCAATGCTTACTCGTCACACAGATGATTCATACAAATGAAAGAGGTGACCTAATCCTTTACAAGTAAACCCTTTTTTTTATGCTTAGGGCGAGCATTGTTCTTTTTTCGTGTGAGGTTATAGGAATTTTTTCTTTTACAAACCGTACGTTCGTTTTCGTACAGTACTAAGTATACCCGATATCAGACATCACATTTTTTATTCATTAATTGCATAATCGATTAGTACTAAGTAAATTTCGAGTAAATTCGTGTACGTAGTAAAGAACTCTTTTTTTTTTATTTTTTTAAATGGAATTTAGTTAACAAGTTCATTACATTATCTAAATAAATTATGCAAATTACATGTATGTAGTATGTATATATGTATGTATTTGACTGGTGAAAAATGATGTAGTGATTGAATTATGACAGTATCATCACTTGGACATCAACCGATGGCCGAGTTTAAAGAAAAATTATTTGATTGAAAAAATTATTTGACTGAAATGGTCAAATATTCAAATAGTAAAGGTAGTAATATAATTGGCTAATATTATGTAAAATAGAAACTTTTGGCCAAAAGACTAGCTATTGACCATTAGCCATTGGTTTGCCAAACAGCAAAAAAAAAAAAAAAAAAAAAATTGTTGGTCGAAAAAATTGCCAACACTATATTAAGGTATTAGGGCATTAAATTATGCAAATTATTGACATAACTGAGAAATTATCATAACTTGAAAAATCCATATACCAGGTTAATTTTTATTTTTCTCTTCTAAAGTTGGCCATTTTCCCGTACTTGGGCAAGAAGTAAGAGGACGCCAAGATATCTGAACAATTCCCTTAACAGGTGGAGCAAGTTCTTTAAAGGCTGCAAGGGTCAAATCAATATCATTTCTACTTCCACATGTAGCACATTTGTCAATAATCTTCACAATAATAGATTTACTACCACATTTGATTTCTACACATTTATAACACATCGTTTTTCCAATCATATTCATAGCTCCGATATAATCAGTCGGTTTAGCGTCATATGATGGTAGTTTTCCATCTCCATAGCAAAATGCATTTTTAAGTGTGTTGCCTTCAAAAAAGGTTATTTTTGCTCCTACATTTTGACCTTGACCTTGGGATGTGGTGGTGTTAGCCTTTTTCCTACTCTCACCATCTACCAAAGGATTTGGATCCCCAGGATTCGTACTATTCGCATCATCATTTACATATGTTGCAGTTACTGGGTCGTCACTATACTCAATTTGATTATCATTGACGTTGTTGGTATTATCACCGGTATTTACATTAGTGTTGTTGCCATCGTTTTCGCCATCACGTTTGACAAAATAATGTTCCATTAATGTTGCTCTGGCAACCCTCCACTCGCCAATTGTTCGTTTTCTTGGTTTATACGTCACAGAAGCAGAAACCGTGGCGAAAACTGTGAAAAGAATGCATAAGGTGAAAAAAACCAATGATGACTTCATTTTCAAAAAAAATTTCAAATGATAAGGATGTTTGGTATTAGTTTTGTTTTTTAACAATCCAGCTAATACTCAAAATGGTATTTGAAAATATGTAAGAATTATTATAAAAATAAAAACGAAGGCGAGAATGGTCTGCGAAAAAAGGTCTACGACCGAATTTGTGATGGACGACCAAAGTTATGGAGGGTGAAGTTAAACGTCTTGAGAATTTTCAGTGACGGTAACATTGCTCTCTTTTTAAACCTTTTTTTTTTTTTTTTTTATAAAACTAAGGATAAATCAAATGTGTAATTATTTGCATCTTTGTACTCTAAGAACCAATTGATTCAAATAAGTATTAAAAAATTATCGTACTCTCATATTTTCTATAAACGGTTTTTGTGTAAACCACGTTCCTTTTTTATACATGTAGATACTTGAATAAATTTTACTGTACCACTTTTTCTAATAACCATTATTTCCCAATCCTGAAACATTTTAACTTAAACGCATGACAATAACAGGTAATAAAATAATGTTACCAAATTGTTATGAAACTTTTCCTAAATCTAACTTAATTATCTGATAATAAATGCTACACATTCTATCGTGTACAAACAAGTATGCGTGAAATACGATCGAAAATAAATAATATTAATTTCGTACCAAAGTACAAATGAAATTTATTTATTATGTGATTTGCTATCAAATTCGGTTTTAATTAATACAATTCTTTTGATTAAATTTCATTTGAACATCATTTTTGAATCGCTCAAGTGCGAATTGCGTTTTTTTTTTTTGATCAATGTTTTTTTACATTTATCTTAAAGTTTCACACATAATAATAATATCCCCATTTTTTTGTTATTTCTATTTGTGAAACACTTAATGTAACACAGTTTTTCGGTTCTTAATTCTGCCTATGAAAAGACTAAGTACTCAGAAATTTCGATCAGAAATTATTATTAATTATACTTAGATTTTGTGATATTTGTAGATATTGTATCTACGATTTACAGCGATCACTACTAATATCGATAACCTTTTATTATTAACTACGTATTATACTGTATTATATTGCATTATACTGTATATTATACTGTAATACGTATACGTACGTACAATCATTACTACGTATCATTACTGTATATACAGATATATACACAGATATATACTAAATTACATACATATTTTTATACGTATTATCACTGTACGTATACATATTATTTATTTTTTCTTTTATATTATATATAATGTCTTACGTATCTTTAACTGCGTTAAATGATGAAATTCGTTTTAGCAGTATATGGATGTAAGGATATATGTATGTGCGTATTAGAAAATATATATTATTCATCGTCATAAATAAAGTAAAATGATGCAGTGAACATATGATTATATGGTCATCCACATTTTCGTTTTTTTTTTATCATTTACCATTTTTTTTTTTTACTTAAGTGTCAAATCTTTTCCAAAAGAAATTAAATATAAAAAAATTTTGGTTAGTAAATTAATTATAACACAAGAGAATTTTCTACTTCGACCTTTCTATTAAGTATTTCTTTGTCTAGCATTTTAATATGTAATCGGTGAATTGTTATTCGCACAATCTCTGCAAGTTCGCTACGTATTAAAGTAAACTGACTGCTTAATTTGCTTAATTAGGAAAATTAATATAACAGTTACATCTACGTAATTAAACACTAAGTCAAAAAAATTAAAGTATTTGATTTATAATTTGTTCATTATATTAAATTAATTGACCGTTGTCGAATAAAGGCTCTAGTACTCTATGAGATATAGATCTATAATCAATTTGCTTCTATTATTTGAGTACTAAATAAATTAGCTCTTGACGATAGCGCAGATCGGACGGTCAGTCCTACAAAATGTATGATAGCGATTGTATGTACATTCGTACGTTCCGCTCGTACATACGTATCGTTAACAGTCACACTATTTTTATAATAAATTACAACGGTAGTAAACCTTTTTTATTTTTTTCAAGGGTTCTTAAAAAGAAAAAAATCTTGCTATGTATCTGTTTAAAGTAAATTTCATGATTAAGTGTAGCATAAAATATATAAAGTTTTTTTAGGTTTTTTTTGAAGATTTTAATAAATTTAAAATTTACTAAAATTTAATTATAAAATAAATTATAAAAATTTATAAATTGTCAATAAATATATTATAATTTTTTTTTTTTTTTATAAAAAAAATATATATATATAAAAGATATATAAAAAAAACTATTCAATCCTTTTAATTTTTTTTGATACGTATTCACTTAAACCAAGTTTGTACTAAAAGTAATTTAAAATTTTATAATCTTTAACAAAAAATATTCTTGATTTTACATAAAATAAAACTATTGTTAATAAAATTTAATATATAAAATATTTAAAAATGATAAATATAATTAAAATAGTTTATAAAAATTTTAAAAGTATTACTTATAGGGTAATCTATTTGTCACCGGCGGTTACAGTAACCAAGCCAATCAAATTGCACGATTTAAAAATATATAAAATTTCAAATCGCAATAACTCAAAATTATGCCTATGAAACAAACTTTTGAGTTCTAACAAAAAAGATTCCTGATAAAATTTTACTATATACTATAACCTACTTTAACCTTAATTATAACCTCAACCCTAATTCGGTTACATGTTATCGCGGTGACAAGCACATTTTTTCTTACTTATGTTATTTATAAAAATAAAAATACAAAAACAATGTACATCTTATTAAACAAAAATAACAATTAAAAAAAATTATAATAATTATTTTTATAATTTAGAAAAAATAAAACTAACATAATTAAAATTAATAAAATATAAAAATATTATAATTTTTTAAAAAAAATTATAAAATAATTAAAAAACAAAAAAATATTAATGACTTAGTTTAATTTATTTGAAAAAACTCTTAATTATATTAATATATCATCTAAACTAATTAATATATTTATTAATTTACTTAGTTTACATAAATAATATACTTTAAATATCTTAATTCAACTTTTAGTATATTTTATATTATATTAAATATATATATTTTTTAAACAAATTTTGAATAAAAATTATATATAATCTATAAATAAAATATAACAATTACATCATTATACTATATATTTACTAAATAAACTCTAAATAAAAATTATATATAATCTTTATAAATATTATATAAAAAACTTAAATTTTCTAGATAAATATTAAATAAAAATTGTATATAACCTATATAAAAATTATTTAATTAACTTAAATTTTTAAATAAATTTTAAATAAAAATTCTATATAATCTGTATAAAAATTATTCAATTGCATATTATTTTATATAAATCTATATATGAGAGCACTCATAGCAAAAGCAAATAATAGAACTATATAATATATAGATTTATTATCTACTTTTGCTATAGGTGTCTCTATATAATGTTTTTAATTAATAACAAATAAAAAATAAGTAATTAAAAATAACTGTTAAATATAATAATAATAATAATATCATCTCAGATTTGTATAACCTTTTTAATCATATAAGAAACTTGAAAAAAAACAAAAAAATTAGTATAATACTTAAAGTTTATATTTTAAAATTATTATTATTAAAATTATAAATAGTAAATGCATAAAAACCTATACTGTTTTATAATTTTATAACTTTAATTTTGCTATTAATAATCTATTTGATCTTTTAATTATCTGTAATTTTGTAAAATTATAAAATTATTTAATCACATAACATTATTAAGAATTTTATAATCAAATTAATATTACAGTCTCATAGTAAATCTAAAAACAAAACAGTATTAATAGTAGCACTAAAAAGTATATATAATACTTTATTCAAGCATTAAAAAATACTTATCTGAATCCAATATCTATATTTTGATTTTGAAACTTTTTTAATACAGACTCATTATATATTAATTAGAGTAATCAATATTATATTTTTGTTTTTATTATTATTATTTATAATAATCTTATAATTTTAAATTATATAATCTAGCAATTAATGCTTAGACTCAAATATTCAGTTATCCATTTTACTATACCTATTTTATAAAAGCTATATCTGGATAACTGTTAGTTTTATTCTGCA